TGAAATACTTACATCCACGAACAGTGGTCAGATAATTCATCACAGTCTTAAATTATTTATTTCATCTTATTTACGACGTCAAAAATGTGAAAATCTAATGCCATCTGATTTCATTGACAGAATTTGGTACGTCCATTTTTACGCTGAGAAATCTCCAAGATGCAGGAACGTTTCAGTCAACTTATGGATATCCATGTAGTTTACATGAAGCTTGATTTTAGTGGAGATCTATTGTTATAATTGTTTCCTTTAATTCTTAGAGGAACATAGGGCTCCAGCCACGCGTCTCCATTGCGTTCGGTTTTCTGCTAGAGTTTTCACCTGGCTCCAAGTCTGTCCACACACTTTCATCTCCTCTTCACATGACCTCCTCCAAGTCACCCTTGCACTGACGACCAGCTCGCCGCTTCCCTTTCGGGTTCCACTCGATCACTGGCTTGTCTAGTGATGTCACTTGATGGTTTCCTCAGAGTATGGCCAATCCATCTCCATTTCTTCCTGCATATTTCTTTCACAATCGCTCATTGCCACAGATCTCTGTTGGTGATCTTTTCTGGCCGGCCATGTGATCTTGAGTGGTATTGAGCAAAGACAACTGTCAATGAAGGTTTGTAGTCTGTTTGAGATGCTCTTCATGACGCGCAGTGCAAGTCTCTGATCCGTATAGTAAGTAGCACTGACTTTCCATTGGAGTTGAAAATCCGGATCTTATTTTTGATGCTGAGAGTTGTTGACCTCCACACAGACTTGAGAGTAATGAAAGCTTGCTTGACTTGTTTTCCCCATCCTCGTTGCTTTGATATCCCCGTCAGTTCTATCCGCCTGTAGTTGAAACCATGCTTCCCAGATAGGTAGGTATGTAGGTAAAGGAGGTGGCTTTTTTCAGATTCCTCCCATTTATGCTGATTGTCGTCTGCTGTTGTTGTTGCTGTTGCTGTTGGCCGGGAATCTTCATCACCACAGCTGTTTTCTCTATGTTCACCTGAAGTCCTATCTTCTGTGGATGCTTGTTCTGCTAACTTGTTGCTTTTCGCTTGCATATCTTCCAATTTGTGGGAAATCAGACATATATCATCGGCAAAGTCCAGATCCTTCAAGTTTGCTTTTTTGTGTGCCCACTTTATGCCTGTTTCCTCATTGCCCGGAGATTTAACGTGAGATGAATTTCAGCATCTCCGAGAAGAACTACTCCTACAGTAGTTTCCTCCACTTCTTCAATGGACTACAGAAGTCTGAAAGACAACATCTTGCATCAGAACGCTTCTATGTGCATATATTCATGTATAACAGTTTATCTGCCCCTGTTGAGCTTGATAAATTGATGTTTTAATGCGTATCCTGTCTAAAAGAGTTCATCAACAGTATCTCACATTGTTTCAGAATAGTAGGAATGGCTTTGTAACCGGTGTGGCGCTAATCGTTCCATCTTAAGAAGATCCTTATTCACTGTGATTAACAAAGTGAAGAGCAAAGACAATGTGTCTTCGCCCACCCACCACCCGCTCAATACAATGCTCAAGCTCCATTCATCCACCTTCTGAACTCCTACGTAATATCATATTTGTCTTCAATTCTCTATGTGCATCCTGGCTGAAAGTCAATCACTAAATTATTCATCTTATTACTCCCATATCGAGCTTCTCTTAGGTGTGAAAATATTGCACATCAATGTAATTGTACAACTAGTGAAGTTGATTACAGTATTTCATCATGAGCTGACATCGGTTAGAGAACAACTGGAAAACAGCATAGCTATTTCGTCCTAGTTTATGACTCGCCAGTATGCCAGGTTCGAACCCAGAACCTTCTGGGCCAGCGAGCTCATAGACTATTAAGTCACTGGTACCAGCCAGTCCAATGGCCAGCCCATGAATTCCAACTTCTGCCAATTCATGACATGGCGCGACTGCTAGCTGATGTCATCTCTGGCCAGTATTTGTCCTTACATCCGACCTGCTGCACTCTAGTGGTCACGACGTCCCACTAGAACCCCAGGTAACTACCTAACTGAATAGGGCTAGTTGCTAGTGAGCATCTCATTGATTTTCAAACATTGGTTTGTAGAGATTTGATTGATTGGTTACAGGATTTGATGATGAAATGACATTGGTTGTTAGAGAACCATTGGAAAACCAGCTCGGAGTCCCAAACTAGGACGAAACAGCTGTCCAGTACTCTCAGCTGGTTTTCCAATGGTGCTCATGATGAGGTCCTGTAACCAATCAATCAAATCCCTACAAACCAATATTTGAAAATAAAAAAGATGAGTAAAATAGCCTCTTCTCTGGTCAACTTACTCCTCTTACAATCAACTGATCCTCTAGTAATTAAACATCCTGACGATATTCTAAAGTCTCCATATACTTTGCGCCACACAAAGTATATCGCCCGTGGGCAACGTCAAGTCCACAAATGTATTCTGTCTGGAACACTGTCCAGCTTGGCTAGCCAACCAGAAGAGGAAAGAAAAATACAAGCAGCTCCATCGTCGAACACCCTGTCAACTCTGAATATCAAGCAGAGCACCCCTACTTGCATGAATGCTTCATAGTGTTATACACAGTTACTCAGTATCGTACAAAGGAACTTCGAATACGCCATCTGCAAACAGTTGAATCACTGGCTGGCTATTCAGGATGTGAAATCGGACATTTGTATCTAAAAGCGATATATAGATTCTCTCACCCTTTTTTATTATGTAAGTTCACTATTATTATTGCTTTATTATCATTATTATTCCGATCATCCATATTTTATCATCACTCTATTACTGTTTATTAATAACATTGCGTTTTCATACAGATTTTATATAAAAACACTTAGTCGTCTTTCCACTAGTTCCTGTCCATTCTACACGAGCATACTGATTAGTCATTATCTCACACCCATTACGTCATGCCAACTTCTGCCTCTTTTCTAACTTAGAATTAGTCACACCTTCTAGGTTATACCTAATAATACATAATACATAATACTTTTTTCGAGGAAAGCTTTTACCAGTATCTGATTGGTTACTCATACAGCAGCTTATGAAAACGTGAATCGTCCAAAAGAAAAAATCATACTTATATCACACCTTCCTTCGGTGCTTATTCCACTTAAGTAATCACCCAATGGTTTCTGGTCAATAACTATTAAGTCAGCTAACATGAATTCTGTAATACTGGTGACGTTTTTCCATAATAGTTTGTTTATTAGATATATCACACAAAGTGAGTGAAACAGTATTATTTACTGGATGACACAGTTTCGAACGAAATTTATTGTGGCTCATAATCACATCATCAATTATAATCACACAACTTCGAAACTTGAGTTTCATAGTTTTCTTTGTTGTCTCCTATTTGTCGTCGTTCGAGTAGTAGAATTTTCCAGATATCTACCTGGACAAGTGTTGGATTATCCCTATTACATTTCTCTCAGTTGATTCGATAAACAAAGCTTCCGTTATCAATCTCTCCCTCCACCCAGCAATTAAATTAGATTTTAAAACTGTCATCCTATCCCATCCCATCCTATTGTATGTTTCGTTGTGTGAAAGTGCATGTAGTGAGTGCTATAGCTGAACTATTCTCCGGATTTCTTATCTTATTCGGGTCAACTAATCTAGTTTTGCTAGTCTGACTGCACCTGTTCCACTAGTTTGACCTATCTATTTGACCTGACAATCATTGCAGACAGGGTATTAGATAAACTAAATTGTTTTGTTTAATTGGCTTCAATGGCAGGATCCTTTAACCGACAAGGCTTGTTTCTAATTGAGTTTGTGGGTTTGAATGCCGGCCACTTTTATTCCTGGATTGTTAAGAATTCTGAGTAAGGTGGTTTCCGAGGTTCCTTCTTTATACGGAAATACTACTGATGATCTAGATTCCTTATTGTTGTTGTTGTCTTGCGCATGTTTGACATGCATGTCGTCATTACTATTATTATTATAACTAATTTCTATTTTACATTTCCCTACATACTTTCTGACTAATTTATCAGGGTAGTCATTAATTAAGTTTCAAAGCTTCTCTTACGTGTGTCACTTCCTGTCTTAGATTTTCCTTGGTACCACTTCGTTTTTGTGCTCTGTCACTTAAACATTTCACCAATCCTATTTTTACAGACACAGGATCGGATGATCGGAAGTCGAAATATCATCTTCTTTCCTTTTTACGTTGCAATCTAACATTGGAAGCTCCCCGTCCTTCCTGACTTTCCATTTCATAAGTGAATTGAATTACTTCAACCTTCGAGTTGATGTGTTCGAAAAACCTATATATATCCTGTGTTCTAAGTACAGTGAATGTGTCATCTACATACCTCCACCATACTCTTGGGGTAGGGCTGAACGTTTCAATCTCTATGTTTTCCCACCTATCCATGAATATATCTGCTACAACTGGGGATATTGGTGATCCCACGGCAACTCCCTCAGTTTGTTTGTATATTTTCCGTTGGAATTTAAATACTGTGGAAGTCATGCATAGTTGCACTTCCAGTATTATGTCCTCAAGTGGCACCTTCGTCCTAAATTCGAGTTCTTGGTCAGAAATGAGTTCGTTTCTGACTGCCCCTATGGCCATATTTATTGGTATACGTGTATATAAACTGACAATTTCAAAACTAGCAATTTTTTCTTCATCATCTAATTACAAATTATCTAATCTATGTTTTAGTTCATAAGAATTAGTTAGTCTAGATTTTGAGTGACTTTTAAGGGGATTTAATACCATGGCTAAATATTTAGATAATTTATAAGTAGGCCTGATGATGAATTTATCGAAAAGAGTACTCTTTGTTCCGTATCCATTCTTTTGAGAACTTTAATAACACCAAATATCCTACTGGTAAAGTTTTTAATGTGTAATCTTCATTTCCTATTCAAATAAACCATACAATTAATTTACTTAGAGAGGCAATAAGATTGGGATTACATAATATGACAATGACACAGCAAGAGAGAGGGAGAGAGACAAAGATGAGAACAAAGCGATCGATGAAGAGTGTATAGTTTATCTTGAAAGTTGTTGAATTTCTTTTGTCAATGCATGAATTTCTTCACTTTGTAATTTTGCCAATTGGACAAGTTGTTTCAGTTGTTTCGCATCGACATAACCAGAAGAATTATGCATTGCTCCAATCTAATGAGAAATATATATGAGAAAGTAAGGCAAATAGAAGAGAAAAAATAAACTGCAAAAATGGAAACGCAATTGACGGAGGGATTTAATGTATTTGCCAATGATTAATTTTTGTGTTGACGCATGGCAGCTCTTTTTTATTTTTGGAACACTCCAGCCATGTCTGAGCGTCATCATGATACCATGTTGCTTGTTGGTAACTAGCGGCAGAATTCAGGGTGTGTATTTCGTGGCGAAGTAGACAATATTATTTGTATGATAAACATTCCGAAAATTTAATTGGTGGATGATGGCTAGCAGTGGAGTCCATTCAGGATGCACATTTCGCCCTACCTGGGACTCGTCACATGGATTTACTTGCATTTCCCAGCGAGTGATGATGTTCCCACCGAGGCTCGAACCCAGTGCCCATAGTTTCAAACGCCAGCCAAAGCGTTATCCACTAGACCACTTGGGCCACGAGAGCCACCTCTTTTGCAACGGGTCACATTAATTATTCAATTCAATTTTAGATTTTCCTGTCAATTGATTGGACCGAAGTGCTCTGTCTCAGGTTGACATATCGGCTTCTTGTGCAGATGCTTCGACGATGTCTGGGCATTTAATTAGAATTTAATTTGTGGATGGTGACTAGCGGTGGAATCCAGGATGCGCATTAAATTAACATGACCCGTTGCACAACGGGTGGCTCTCGTGACCCAAGTGGTCTAGTGGCTAACCATTTGTCGTTTGAAATTATGGGCACTGAGTTCGAGCCTCGGTGGGAAATTCCGGTACATCCAGATGACGAGCCCCGAATCGGACGAAATGCACATCCTGAATGGATTCCACTGCTAATCACCATCCACCAATTAAATACTAATTAAATGCCCAGACATCGTCGAAGCATCTGCACAAGCAGCCGACATGTCAACCAGAGACCAAGCACTTCGGTCAAATTAATCGATGGGAAAATCTAGAAAAATTCAATTCATTTCCGGAAATATTTTGGCTTATTTGGAATAGAACGAAATCTCCCGCACACACAAACATACCCCAGAGAAAACACGCTGAGAATTCTGCTTTGGTGCTCATTCGCATGGCTTCCGAGTAGAACAGACGGCTTCAAGGTTGATTTTGGAAACTTCCGGTGCCAGTTGTGTTATTTTCGCAAAGTGGATGGGGTTGCTGGCCTCATGCCTAACCTTTTCTTCTTGTCAAGACTTACTGCCAGCTAAATGACGTTGAGGAATGAGTCGGCCGCGAAATGAAACATTGACCCCATAAGTGTTTGGCGAGCATTTTATCGCTGAACAGCCAGCGCTGAAATTGTCGTTACTGAGTAAAAGCTCACTATTCAGAATAAAGTCATTAGTATAAGCGTTTATCTCCGTTATGGATAAAATTTTATTTTGATAAATCACACAGTGTCTGTTATACAGTAATATTAACTGATGACCACGTTTCGAGCACAAATTACTGCCACTCATAATCATATTAAGGCAATACTCACACAACTTTCTTCCTTTATTTATACACACTCGTAAAAATTGATGATTAGACGTTCGATTGAATAAAATCAGTAACTTAAGATAAAGTACATTCAGAAATAATAATATGAGTGTTATCAATCAAATACAGTCAGATGGGAAATAAGACGAGTGTTTTTATAGTCAAAATAAGCAGCTTGTTAGAATGTAATAATGTATGTGAATTGAAATAGAATTTTAACATTATTTATTATCCTCCTCTGATTTGACTGACTGGTGGTAATAATATCTTCCATATCTCTGGTATTTGCATTGAGTCATTTCTGTTGCATGTTTTGTGTTGGGTTTAGACTGAATGAACCATCTATCTACTCATATAACTTTTCAGAATTTCAACTCTGTCTCACCCACACCATTGTGTGTTTTAATGCATGCGGTGCAATCGCTGAGCTTTTTTTCTAAATTACTTTTCCTTGTGGGATCAATCATTCTTACCTCAGCTAAATTCTTATGTTCTGACAATCTCCCTACTCCTGATCTACTGGTTTGACCCATGTAGTTGATTCAACTCACAGACATTATTTTCATTAATTGGGTCCGCCAACAGTGTCCTTTAGCCTACAGAGCTTGTCCCAGAGTAAGTTTGTAGGTTTGAATGCCATTCTAATTCCTGCTTTATTAAGAATCCTACGTCGGGAGGGTTTCATATGTTCCCCCCCTTATATGGTAAAACTACAGTAGATGCCTTATATTCTCTCTTATTTATGTTATCATTATTAGTTTCACAACTATTTTTATTTTGCTTTTGACCTGTTTTGATCCTACTAATGAATTTCATAGGATAGTTAGTTATTTAACACTAACCAGCTATTCTTCTATCTGTTTCATTTCATCTTATTTCCCAACACTAATGTTCGTGAGCCTTCGTTTGAGAAAATTAAAACAATTAGTCCCTTTGATAAATTTGAATAAGGCATCATCTCGCGAAATTTGTCTTCTTAATGCCTTATTCAAACTAATATTCGTTCCGAATGTACTTTCTCACCTTATACTGATTTCATTCAAATGTCTAATCATCAATTTTTACTCATGTATATAAATGAAGCAAGAAAGTTGTGTGAGTAATGCCTTAGTGTGATTATGAATGGCAATAAATTGTGCTCGAAACATGGTCATCAGTTAATATTACTGTATAACAGACACTGTGATTTATCAAAATAAAGTCTTATGAAACAGTGTGCGTCAGTGGCACAGCGGTAGAATGCTCGCTTCCAACCACACCCCTCATGTGATCCGGGGTTTGATCCCTGGCCACCACCTCACTGTTTTACCTCGCTAAGCCACTAATAAGACTGGGAAAAAGGGAAGGTTGGGCATGAGGCCACTACCTCCGTCCCGTAAAAATAAGCACCGCTGCCAGCGAAACTTCAAAGCTCTAGCTTGAAGCCGCCAGATGTTCCACTGGGAAAGTGACCAGGAATAAATAAAAAACAACGACAAACAAAATAATAATGAGATAACGACTTACTTTACTTCCTTGTGTATGATTCAATTCATTTTGTAATTGTTGATGCTCATTGAATAACATTAACAGCTGAGTTAAATAAACTGTATTCTGACGTACTTGTCCCATACAATCATCTCGAGCCATACGTATTTTTGCCTTTATACAATTAGAATATAAAAATTAGGAGTTGTAGTAAAATTAAGATGCCATTGTGAGTAGGAAAATGAGCTTAAAAATGAGATTATCTGCATTTTGGTCTGAATACAGGGGACCAATCGATGCATTCCTCTATATTGTTTACCAAACACCCTAAGAGTCACACCGACTGGCTGACTGAGTTTCCACATACAACTTTCTACAGAAGTGCACCACAGTTCGAGTTACCGCACTCCATGTAGAACACAAAGGTAGACGAAAGAGGTTCAAAAGAACAAATATACAGGAGAAAGAAAGAACATCAGGATTCTATAGATATGGGAGATGAAAAAGCGTGAAATGATTCTACGACACTGACAATGATTTCGGGCAATATCGCCAACAGTCTGAAGCCACAGATTTTTAGCAACCCGAGGATCCCCACCAGCCAGTCTAACCCTCCTTGTGTCGCTTAGTTAATCTAAAAGTCGTAAAATTAATTGAGGAATGTCAGGTTTGTTATTTGAACATCCCTAGACATTTTTCAAGTTAACCCTAAATCAGGTAGCATTCCTCAAAGAGGAAGGCGATGGCTAGGCATGAGTAACACATGTCCTAGCCATCTCGGTTAATTTTACTAAAAAAAGCATCTACTCACCTACCCTTCTTCCCCGGTAATCTATGCCAAACTTCAGTATTGTTATTATTGTTCCTTAGGATTCCGACTGGAACATATGGCTTCAATAGAACGTCTCCACTTTGTCCTGTTTCTATGCGCTCCTCTTCAGCTGGTCTCACAGTTACTCGTAGTCTGTCATCTCCTCATTGCCGCTCTCGGACAAAAGCTCAACTCGTCGTTTACCCATTCAGGTTCCACTCGAGCGATGGACTGGCACGCGACGTCATCCGATAGTCTCCTTAGCATAAGTCCAATCAGTCTAAATTTTCCTCGAAATATTTGTTGAGTAATAGGTTCTTTGTTGGTTCCTCCACAGAGTTTTTTGTTCCTAATTTTTTCTCGCCAGCTATTCAATCCTTAGTATGGAGTTAGAAAACTCATCTGTTGATGAAAGTCTGCACTAGTCTGTTGCGAATGTTTCCAAGACGCGCTGGCCAAATTTCTTATCCTTATAGAAAAGTTACTGAAGCTACATTGGTGTTGAAAGTGCGAATCTTGTTTTTCTTTTTGAGTCCATACAGAAGATTTCAAAAACTGATTTTGGGTTGATGAAGGTGTACCTCGCCTTTCTGATTCTACCTGGTTTCATCCGCTTCGTCTGTGATTGAGGCGATCGATGCTGCATAGCTAGATAAGTGAAGGAAGTAATCTCTGTCAAACTTCTTCCACTGATGGTGATCGGTGTTCGAAGTCATTGCTGTTGGTTGGTTATCTTCACCACATCCGTCTTTTCGATGCTCACCCGGAGTCCTGTTTTCGCTGCCAGCTTCTTCTGTCAGTTCGTTGATTTTCACGTGTAAGTCTTCGAGTTTGTGTGACATTAAACAAAAATCATTCACGCGTGAAATCCTAATCTTCTAAAGTCTTCTTATTGGTCCGGCTTACTGCTGTCTTCTCGCTCTTCACAGTGTGACACATAATCCAATCCACTACAGTTAAAGATATCCTCAGATTTGGGGCACCTCACTCCATAATTTTTAGGTGGTTTCCGAATTACTTCGCAGTCAACGTAGTTGAAGGCTTTTTCAAAATCAATGAAGTTGAGATGGACATTTGACCACCATTCTATGCTTTGTTTGATGATGGTGTGTAGAGTTGCAATTTGGTCAGCATATGATTTTCCTTTCCTGAATCCAGCTTGTTCCAGTGGGTGACGGAGTTCTGTATCCATTGCATCATTCATTTTCTCCAGGATGACTCGACTAAGTATTTTACTTGGCGTAGACAAGAGCATTATTCCACGCCAGCTTTTGAAGAGGCTCAAGTCGCTCTTTTTTGGTAGCTTGATAAGGTAGTCTTTCTTCGAATCAGTAGGTATTATTCATTCTCTACAATGGCGTAAGCATATCCACTGCGATCTCTGGATCCGTTTCCAATGCTCCAGGAGGAATTCCGTCTGGTCCTGCTCAATTCTCAGACTTCAGTAGCTTGATTTCATTCTAAACTTCTACATTTTTTGGAGGACTGGTGTCCACTAGCAGTTCTGTGCATGCTTTTGGTTATATTTCTGGGTCAATTCAAGAGTCCTTTGAAGTGATCAGGTCATTGTTTTATTTGTTTCTCCTCCTTGGTAATTAGGTTCCCTTGACCATATTTTATGGGTTTCACCTGAGTTGGTCTCTTCCCAGACAAGGACCTGCTTATCTGATATAATGTTCTGAGGTCCGTTTTTATCTGTAGCCTGACTGTTCTGCTTCAGTTGCCAGCCAGTGTGTCGTAGAATTGTTTTTTGTCTTTCCTAGCACCCTTCTTCCCTTCTTTATTTGGTGAGACTTACACTGAACTTAGCTTCCCTTTCTGTTGTCCATCTTTGCACTGAATGATCATCGCCTTTTTCACCATCCTCCTCTCTTCTTTTAACTTCCAAGTGTCCGTTGAATGCCACTCCTTGCCTCGTCTCTTCTTTCTTCTTAAAACTTTTGTACACGTTTTCTTGAGCATCACCCTGAGAAAGTTTCAATGTTCTTCAACTCAGTTTTCCTTCAACATTACTCATAATCTAATATCACTTAACACAAAAGATACATAGAATACAGGTATCTATGGCAGAAGACATCTTCATCTTTTCCACTTTCAATAAACATATTTCAAGGTCATATAAGAGGACATAGCGAAATGTTGCATGCGAGCAAGTCATGTTCTTCTCACAACCTTTTTGTCTTAATGTCTAAACGGGAATTTTATATATTTATGCATATATATATATTTATTAGTGTAGAGTCATTGAGGAAGAATTGGTTGACAAGGAATATATTTCTTCACCAAGTTTTCCCTCTTGGAGCCGTTTTCATTATTATCTTCATCAGCATTATTAACTAAGAAGACTAGCAGCTGGTAAAGAGAGGTTACTTACTACTTTCTGATTAAAAGTAGTAAAAAGAGGTTACATAATTATATTACAACACATTTAAACGAACAGTGATATTGTGCTTTCAATTAGATCTCATCAGGCTTAAGTTAACATACAGACATAACTTTACAAATAAATACTCAAATATATAAACCAATCACGGTGTTTTGTCTATAGGATAAGATAAGATAGTGCATTATAAATTGAGCTATAAGTCATAATAACAATAATAATAACAGTTCTATCAATCACAAGGATGAAAAAGTGAGGTGATATGTGATAACAAGAATACTGATGAAAAACAGCATGATTAAACAAACAACTGTTCAGATAGAAATAGCAGTCGATAAAGGCTAAGAAAAACAATTGGACCGATTACGTAATGCTAGATTGTAAGGGAAATCAATAAGCCATGTTAAGGGATGATAAGAGAGGGGTTTAAAATATAAGTAAGGGGTAGCAGAGAAGTCATCAGTTGGTTATGTCTTCATAGGTCAACAAGAGAGGGATAATGGCTGTACGAACTTCATTTTTTGAATGAATGCATAGTTTAGGCTTAATAGTTCGAATGCCTATCGCCTCAGCTATGTGCGTGCAGTAGACGAATACGAAGTCCATTGGAAAGATTCTGTGGAATACGATGAATTATCTTGAAAGCTTTCGTTTTTTCCACTGCATGAACCACTATAAACTAAATGTGACAAAATTGAGCTACGGATTTTTTTTGTCAGTCCTTTGCTAAACCACACCATGATGAGAGATGTTCAGTAACAACAAGTTGGCTAAGCTGCTGTCTAGTAGTACGCCACCCAACATAACTGTCTTCAAATTAGCAATACACAATATACACAGTCCCCTTGAAAGCAATGTGTAATCAGTCTTCTTGACATCATAAATGGCAATCAAGAGAGCAGACAAAAATGCACCATACTATATGTTCTACTCATTATAAATTATTTGAGATATTATATACTACTGATTGTTGTATATAAGTAGTTGAAAACCCCACAAATCAATCATTACTGCTTGCAAACAGATCGAAGCGGCAGCGGTGTCGCTTACCTGGGTGCCAAACTCTTCAGGAGTCTCCAAGTATTGGTTTGTAGGGATTTGGTTGATTGGTTACTGGATTTCATCATGAGCTGACATTGGTTAGAGAACCACTGGAAAACCACCGGGGAGTACTGGACAGCTGTCTCGTCAGCCTAGTTTGGGACTCTTCAACGTTACTCATCCGCCGCCGCCGGTTAGAACCCAGGACCTTCTGGTTACAAGGCGAGCTCGTAGACCATTAAGCCACTGGGACCCTATCCAGTAGCCATGAATTCTAACTTCTGCCAATTCACGACAGCACGACCGCTAGCCAATGTCTTCAGCGAGTATTTGCCGTCACACGCGACCTGTCGCACCCTACTGGTCACGACTTTCCTGGTGGGTGCGTACTACTGAGGAGTCCCAAACTAGGACGAAACAGCTGTCTAGTACTCCCAGCTGATTTTCCAATGGTTCGCTAGCCAATGTCAGCTCATGATGAAATCTTGTAATCATCAGGGGTTTACCCAACTTTGATACGCCACAAAAAACCAAATCAGTTGAAACCACTCGACCTCTGGCTTGCTACTTTGGTTAACTGCTCAATGGGGCTAGTAGTCAGCTACTCAAATCGGTTAATCAGTAGTATATTGACACCATGTACGTATACTAACTTCACATACAATCCAGTGGTATAAAGCGTACACCATTGTATAAACCTACCTCAATTTTTGCCTCTTCTTTATTAAATTCTTCTTGTAATATCAACATTTTTGTAGTTAAATCTTCCAGTTTAGGATTGACCATAACATTTTCCATTTTTTCAATATCATCTATTCGACCAAATTTATCATTCATCTCCTTGTCACAGATCGCGGACAACTTTTCTAATTCTTTCTGTAAAATATTAAGAAAAAAGATGAAGTAAGGCTGGAACGACAGAAGACAAGGGCCAGGCAACAGATCCTTTATTGAGAAAATCGACAGATATTTATAGATTTTAATGTGCATTATTATTAGCGTTATTGTTATTAGAGAGGTAACGTCTTCTGATTGGTTGTTTTCTTGCTTTCTGAAGGTTATTCTGTCATCTCTTTGTTGCCGTTTCTTAGACAGTCCGTTGATATATATCTGCTAATCGTATCCGCCCACGCTAAGTCTTCTGTGATTGGTTGTTGCGTTTCTCAAGGTTAAGCTTTGTTCTTGTTTTTTCTCATGACCCCGATTTGGGACGTAAACATTGACGTAAAAGGCTGTCTACGGATTCTGGCTAGCAGACAGCTCCCACCACAAGGTTAATAAAAAAGGGCTAATATTAACGGTATTAAGAAGAATCGATATCCAACGGATATCCACAAAACTTCGTCTGAAGATGCCTAGCCTTTAACCCAGCCGAACCAACTCCGAATTATCCAATGAAAGTACAAAGAAAATCGTTATACCACATATGAGGAACGTCTCTAAAATCACTGCAAGACCACTGAAACCTTCTACAACAGATGTCGCCCACAAACCAACAAAATCTATTCAATATATACCACGTTGACTGGAAGACACAGTAACTGTGAAGAACATTATTTTGGTCAAAATGGACATCCTTTTCAATATATGTGTAAATCGTGGGCACTGTGGTAGTAAGTAATTCCACATTAGTTTGTTTATTAGATGTATCACACAGCGTGAAACAGTATTATTATTTACTGAATGATACAGCTTCGAACTAAATTTATTGTGACTCATAATCATATCAGTTATAATCACACGACTTCGAAACTTGAGTTTCATAGTTTTCCTTATTCTCTCCTATTTGTCGTCGTAGGGGTAGTAGAATTTTCCAGATGTCTTGATGTACAGGTGTTGAATCATTCCTATTACACGTAATCTGTTTCAGTTGATCCGATAAACAAAGCTTCTGTTATCAATCTCTCCCTCCACTCAGCTGTTACATTAGATTTTAAAATTGTCACCTTATCCCATCCCATCCTATTGTATGGTTGTGTGTAATTGCATGTGGGGGGTGCTATAGCTGAACTATTCTCCAGATTTCTTATCTTATTCGGGTCAACCAATCTAGATTTTGCTAGGTTTTTATGTTTGGATAGTCTGACTGACTGTCCCTGTTCTACTAGTTTGACCTATGTATTTGACCTGACAATCATTGCAGGCAGGGAATTAGATAAACTAAATTGTTTTGTTTTATAGGCTCCACTGTCAGGATCCTTTAACCGACAAAGCTTGTTTCTAATTGAGTTTGTGAGTGGTTTGAATGTCAGCCACTTTTATTCCTGCCTTGTTAAGAATTCTGTGTAAGGTGGTTTCCGAGGTTCCTTCCTTGTATCGAATTACTACAGATGAAACCTAACGCACATAGGTCAAACTTATAGAACAGGGGCAGTCAGACTAGCTGAACATAAAAACTTAGCAAAACCTAGATTGGTTGATCCAAATAAGATAAGAAATCTAGAGAATAGTTCAGCTATACCACTCACTACATGCATTTACATACAATCATATAATAGGATGAGATAGGATGATAGTTTAAAATCTAATGTAACAGCAGGGTTGAGGGAAAGATTGATAACAGAAGCTTTGCTTATCGAATCAACCGCAAATACATGTAATAGGTATGATTCAACACCTGTCCATCCAGATATCTGGAAAATTGTTTTACCCTAACGACGACAAATAGGAGAGGACAAAGAAAACTATAAAACTCAAGTGTCGAAGTCGTGTGATTACAATTGATGTGATTATGAACAATAAATTTTGTTCAAAACTGTGTCATCCAGTAAGTAATACTGTTTCACTCACTCTGTGTGATATATTTAATAAACAAACTGATAGGGACATCCTTTTCATCATCGCACCCACGAACAAAAACTAACCATAGAAAGATGTGATTTCCATTCCTTCACATCAATTCAAATCGTCAACTACAGACACCAATTCGACCGGGAAAATGCACAGATCTAAGACAGAAGAAACACTAAAACTACCAGGGAATTCCTAGAAGCCTGGTACCGAGATGAATCTGTACTCAACAAACTAACATAAACCAAATTTATCAGCAAATCAAGAATAAGCCGAATGAAAAAAGAAGTTGAATTCAGTGTCAATAAAATGCAAATTATTGATTAGTCAAAATTAAGGTCGTTCACATCAATTCATTTCAACTGATTAAAAATGCCCATTGAAGGTTTTCAAAAGAATGAATACTGAACAAAGAATACTCTTTTCAATAACTTCATCATCAGATTCTACAGTTATATATACATTATAGCGAGTGAATGAATGAATTAGTGTTATGAACAACATTCATGATGTTTAAATAACATCGAATCAATAATAACAATATCAGTGGATTACATTTCAATGGCATCGACATAAGATTACACTGAATATCAGAAAAATTAGGAAAGATAATAATACAAATTCATGAATTTATAGTCTCTACTGAAGGCCGGCCAAGGCGGTAGTAGTGGCTAGCTGGACTTGCTTCATTTGAACACAGAGCACTGGTTGTTTGAGGTGAATTGCAATAGCCTCTGCTGTTTAGAGCATGCGGTGCTTCGATGGTGATTTTGGCAATTTATTAGGCACGCGGTAGATGATGGAGAAGAATTCTTCAATTCTGACCGGCTTGTGACCGGTTTGCACAAGATGGTCCAATATCGAACTGTTAATGGTTTTAACTAAACCTTTACTTTACCTTTACCTTTATAAATGAACAACATCAGTGTTGTGCATAACACTAATTCATTCATTCACTATAATGTATATATAACTGTAGAGCCTGATGAAGAGCAGGTTATCGAAAAGAGTGCTCCTTGTTTAGTATCCATTCTTTTGAAAAATTCATTTCATACTGAGATGTCTACACTGAAGAGGTTGTCTAGAAAGTCAGTCAAACATTCGCAGTTAAAACATCCAACCAAGAGAATCCATTTTTCGACTAGTAAATATACTAGCTTCATTTGTAATTAGTTGTGTTCTCTGAGGAGCTGGTTGGTTTAATTGCGAAGCTTCCGTTGTCCTTCTGGAAAGCATCTTCAGCTCAAGTTTTAGCATAAAATGAACTCATTTGAATTCCTAATGAACGATATCTTCAACTTGAGAGATTTAACAGAGGTAACTTCCTTTCTTCACTCCTTATCTAGGAAGCATCCTTTCAACTACAGGCCAGTGGGACGGATGAAGGTGTCGAAGTCAGTCATAATCGGAAGGGCAGTACACACCTTCATCAACCTGAAACCAGTTTGGAAATCTTCTACACTCAGCATAAGGAACAAGATTTGGATTCTGTTCAACACCAATGTGAAGTCAGTCAGTGCTTTTTTTAGGGTCAGAAACTTGCACTGCGTGTCAGTCACGAAAATGATTTCCAACAATCCACTGAAAACTTTTATCAACAGCTGCCAACTTCGTTGTCTGACTTCATACTGAAGATCAAATGGCCAGCTGGCCAACGAGTAGGAATCAGTACCAAGAAACTCTGGCTGACTGAGAACAAACCAACCAAGAGCCAAGCGTCGGTGGCACAGTGGCTAGGATTTTCGCCGACCATGCACATGGTTTGGGGTTCGATACCCTGTCGACGCACACCTGAAATTTATGGTCGGCCTGCAAAATTTGGGCTACCGATATCACAGGCTGAAAATTCCATACTTGTACCAAAAATACTGTGTGGTTTCAAGCTATAACCAAAGAAAGTAAAATAAAATAAATTGCTCAAAAATATGTAGGAGAAAATTGAGATGGATCAGGCATACACTGAGGCCATCGCTCAATTGAAATCCCAATGGGAAGTGACGAAAATGTGTTGTCGGTGCAAGGGTGATATGGAGGCGATCGTGTGGCGAGGAGGAGATGAGAGATTTCGGGCAATCGTGGTCCAAGCTGAAGAGGATGGCAGAAGGTAGAACAAAGTGGAGATGTGTTGTTGAAGCACTCCCTATGTTCCACTCGGAACCCAAGGGAATAATAATAATAATTTGCTTTATTCCAGAAACAGTACTAGTGGTACAGTGTGGAATTTTCAGCACATATCTACAATATTTGCACCTAATTTTATCAAACATTTAAAAGGAGTATTTCAAAAAATAAATATAAAGACAACAAGAATAAAAAAAACACAAAAATAATTTAAAAAATGCGAAGAAAATACCAAGAAGTAGAAAGGAGAATAAACAGCATATAATAATAATATATCAGTATTGGGTAGTGGAAGCTATGATATGATTATGCATGGTGACAGTAAAGCTATAGTCATACAAGAAGTTATGAAATGATATTTAAGAATGTTTATCGCCAAGATGATCAGTTAATTTGGTTCAAACGACACTAAACAATCATAAAATAACATTTCAGGGTTGTTGTTTTGTTTTCTATTGTCAGATATAATGCAGTGTTTGTAGTGATGTGTAGTGTGAGTAATCCTGCGTAATACAAAATTTTAAGGTGGTGACAATGGCGTTCACAACCAATGATTGTCAGTTAATATTGCCGAACAAAAACAACAACAACAACCGCAAAAACTAATAATTACATGATGGTTGATGACAAGAAAATTTTGTACTACTCATGGTGCTAATATAGTCGGAACCAGTAGATACACAAAAGAGGGAATAGAGTAAAGTACAAAAAGTAAGCCAATGTTAATAATTTAGGTAGCTAAGTATGTTTAAGAAGGAGTTCACTATAGAATACAAATTAAGAGAGGAATAAAAGAGCCTAAAATTATGTTATTAACAACAAATCAAGTCATAGGTTTCACGCTTAACATTTTTCAATAGTAATAATAACAAATTTACCAGCTAATGAAAAGTAAATCACATGTGACAAGAAAGTTCGAATTCCAATTCAGTAAAAATGATCATCAGTAGAGATGTAAATCAACT